GTAGGTACAAATACTAATATTTATAGACTCTGAAACAGGTAGTTTCCATTTTCAGTATTGTCCTTTCTGTGCTTTTTTTGTTTGGTTTGTCCTTTTTTAAAGACAAGGTCTTACTGTATACCCAGGCTGGCTTGGACTCATGACCCTCTTACCTCAGCCTCTCTGGTTTTAGAATTACAGGCATGGGGCTGGAGAGATGGCTCAGCCGTTAAAGGCTAGGCTCACAACCAAAAATAGAATTACAGGCATGTTCTGTGTTCTGTCATACATATTCTTGAATAGTAACACTGTGAATCTATTTTATAAAACAAAAATTTTTATAAAGCTTCCTTCTAAATGAAATAAACAGTCTAGAATTGTTTTTATCTGTTTCCTGTGGTACTGGATTTTCACCTCATTCTGCACTCTTCTTTTGTTCATTTTGGGACATATTAGTACCTCCTTCAGGAAGTTGTGGATAAGGTGGAGACACTCTTATCCTTAAGGCCACACTCTCTTCTCATTGTTCAGCTGTTGAAGTAGACTTCATTGAAGATTTAGTGGCGGATACCAGAATTCCTGTTGAGATAATCTGAATAATTCCGCTATTCTGTTCATGTGTAAGGTTTAAAATGTTACCTTCAAAGAGAACCATTCCAGTTTATTGAGAAGGAGAGTCCTATTTTATATTGCGCAGATGGGAGTGAAGATTCAGAGATCTTACATAAGACTTAGTAGCATCTGCCCTAAGTGGGACCTCAAGTAGCATCTGCCCTAAGTGGGACCTCATTTCCTGTATGACTAGAGTGCAGAGCTATGTGGAGCACTCGGCTAAAATGTTTAGGAAGAGACACCTGTGGGGTATGTAAGCAAGAAGGGAGAAACTGACCTGGGCTTAAGTGAGACTTCAGTAGCCCTATTAAAAAGTAGGTGACACAGCCAATAAATCACACTTCATAAGCTCAGTTGTGTGGATGCAGATGACAGTTCCAGGTTTTCTCCTGCTCTGTCTGGGTACTGTTCATACCAATGCCAGTGACAGGCCAGGGAAACCTGTGCCTTTTAAAACCATGTTTGATAAAGTGGACCCAAGAGGAAAGTTGTCAGAAGTGTGAAGAGTGGATTGAGGTGTTGAAGATAATTATACCTATTTAGATATAGAAACAGGCAGTACTCAGTCAAAGAAAGCTCCCAACTGAACGTCTCAAACCTTTCCTCAACTAAAGAGTATAAGAGATTAGAAAAGATTATTTTTTAGGGTTGTCTTGACCTAACCCCTTTGTTAAGAGTGAATTTGCCTTCCCAGAGCATTTTTTTTTTCAGTCTTGGTACAGTAAATTAAAGGAGTTTAAAAATCTTTCCAACATTAACATTCTTAGAAAACATTTTTGAACTGAAAGAACAGTAAGCATTTTTAGCATTCCACTCCATTAGCTGGAAAACTTCTTTTTACTCTCAATGTAAAGAGATGGCCCTTTGGTTAAGAGCAGTTTATGCTCCTACAGAAGACCTGGGTTCAGTTCCCAGCACCCACATGGTGTTGAACAGCCAGTTCCCTTCAGAGTGCTAAGATTAAAGGTGGGAACCACCATGCACAGACAGCCCTTGTCTCCATGGTGAAAGACTGTCGCTTGTTTGTGTCTGCTTCTCCAGTACACCAGAGGTGTATCACTATAGGAGAAGACTTAATGTACCAGAGAAATAGATCTTGTCAAACCCCACCTCTGGGAGAGTAGAGGCAGGAGGATCAGGAGTTCAGGGGTTAGCCTCTGCTACATAATGAATAAAGGCCAACTTGAACCACATGAGTTCTTTTCTGAAATAAGCAAAAGTAGGAGCTTTGTTTTGAAAAAGAACATCTTGTCGGGCGGTGGTGGCGCACGCCTGTAATCCCAGCACTCGGGAGGCAGAGGCAGGCGGATCTTTGTGAGTTCGAGGCCAGCCTGATCTGTGGAGTGAGTTCCAGGAAAGGTGCAAAGCTACACAGAGAAACCCTGTCTCGAAACGCCCCCCTCCAAAAAAAAAAAAAAAAAACTTAAAAAAAAAAAGAAAGAAAAAGAACATCTTTTTAAAAGAAAAACTCATTTTCAGTTTATAGTTTTAGATATTTATATTAACACTGATCCATTTTTTAAAGTTTCTATGGATGAAATAAATTCTATTTCTATTATGTATGTATACACCACATTTTCTTTATGCATTCATCTGTTGATGGGCGTTCAGGTTAATTCATGACTCTGCTGTTGTGAATTAGTGCTGTGATAAACGTAGATGTGCAAGTATCTCTGTATTGTGTTGCATTTAATTCCCTGTGCTACGTATCTAGGAGTGTTACAGTAAAATCATATGGTAATTCTATTCCTAGTTTATCTGAAGAATCTCCATTCTGATTTCCATGTTGGCTGGACTCATTTACATCTCCATGGACAGTGTATAAGGACTCCTTTATGCTGTGTCCCTACCAGTATTTGTTGTTGCTGCCTTAAAGAAGACACAAGGCAACACTTTTTAAGTACCTATTCTGTTTCAGGGAGCTGTTTCTCTACTTCTTGTCTTTGTGTCCTCAGATTCTGGTTGGAAACTGGAATGATCCTGTTGGATTATAAACCAGATCACAGCCCTCCTAGCTTAACCCTTCACAGGTATCAGAGGACTTGGAGTAGAGCCAAGGTCTTTAAGGCAGCCTGAGGTTCCTCCAGTTTCCAGGACTAAGGCCTGTGGGAGGGGAAAAGAGCAGGTGTGCACAGGTGATTTCAGAAATGTTCATGGCAAGAGGGAACCCTCCAGATACTTCTGAGAGAACAGGCTGGTTCTGACCAGACTGCCCCATTCCTATCTCTGGGTCTCAGAATTATAGATACAAAAGTGTTGATCAAATTTTAGAATGCTGTAGATCTTCACAGAAACCACAGATTTAACTTTTAAGTTGGTGAGTTAACTACAATACTCAGTATGGACATTATTTATAGTTTGACACTAAAAATAAATTGCTTTCTTTTACGATCTAGTGGTAGATAAATTCCTGAAAGGAGCAATTATTTCCTGGAGGGGGAAAAACCCACAATAATAGTTAAATAATAGACAAGGCCAATAATTTAGTGTTGTGAATTATTATGTGTGCTTTAAAATTTTTTTAATTTATGAGGTTGGGAGACTGGGGCAGAAGAATTGCAAGTTCAAGGCCTTTTTGTGTGATAGAGTGAGTTCAAGGTCATTTTAGCAAGACTTATCTTAAAATTAGAAATTAAAAATAAAAAAAGGGGTATAGCTTGGTGGGAGCATGAATGGCCCAGTGTTTGTTCCTCAACACCACAGAAATAACAAAAAACTTTGTAAGTCGTGTAAAATAGTTTCAGGTTTTGTTAGAAACCTTGTCTCAAAAAAAAGTCAGGTAGAGAGTGATAGAGGAAGACATCCAACATCAGACTCTGGCCTCAGTACATATAAACACACACACCCACACACCACCACCACCACCACCAACAACAACAACAACAATAATGAAAATGGAACTTGAGATGAAAGACCAGAGCACGAAGGAGGTTTCTGTCAGTCCCAGTATGAGAAGCAGTGAAGGAACTTGGAATTACGGTCAAAAGTTTGACAAGATGCAGTGTTTCTAATTAGGCATACTAGTGAAGGAAGGCGGTACTCACTTCCAGAAAACCAGGGACGTGGGCACAACGATTTTATTCCCAAAGCAGTTACTTAGTGTACATACCAGGTAAGAGGTGCTACATTTAATCATTCATTTCTTACTTACTCTGTGCACATTCAGTCAGTCAGTCATCACAGAAGGTCATGTGTTAAGCGCTCTTGCTATTTCCTGTCCTTGGAGGTACAGGGTAAACAAGATGCTGGCCCATCTTCAGAGCACTTCATCAGGAGTGTCAGTCTAGGAGTCAGCTCAGCACAGCATAAGAAAGCTGGGTGGGTGCATGGAGGGAGCTAATTCAAGACACAGGGCTTGAACTGCAGTCCAGAACTGACTTTGCTGAGCAAAGTGGTGAATGGAAGCAGCCCAGGTGAGGGCTGGGAGACAAGGGCAGGGAGATAGGAAGGGAAAGAGGGCCAGCTCCTCAGACTGAGGGCCACTGTTAGGAGGAGCGTCTGTCTCATAAAGGTGCTGCACAGGGGAAATCAGGTGTCCGGAATGGGGGTGGGCCGTAGAGTTTATTTTTGTGATTGCTTATTCTGTGAATGCTTTCTTTGCCACTAAGCAAACCTCTGTGCATATTTGGGACTCTGACCTTTGACTTCATTTGTTTAGTGTTGTATGTGGCTCAATACCTCTGTGTTTAGTCAGGTAGTAAACTCTGAGCATATGCAGATCACTTTGTCTCCATGGAGATGCCATGAAACACTCCTGAGTAAAACACATGACAAAGAAGATGAACTTGCATCCTCGGGACAGTCTTCTCCCTGATGCTCTTTATGACTAGCTCTTTCAGAAAACAGAGCGCTTACAGAACACAGTTAGATGACTGGGGAGATAGGCCATCAGTAACGGGCTGAGGACCCGAGCTGAATCCCTGTAGCCCAGGTACAAAAGCTGGAGGCCTTGGCTCATTAGTGTGTAATCACAGGTAGATCCCTGGGACCTACTCAGTAAGCTTTGGAGCGGTGTGAGACCCTGTCTCAATAAAACGAGGTGGGTGACTCCCACGGAACCTCCACCTGGGGTTGATCTTTGGCCTGCACATATATGAACTTACAGGACCACACACAGAAAAAGAAACAAAATACAGTTAGTCTTTAGTTACCCAGTTTTCTAGAAATGAAACTGCTTTGTTTGAAAGATGGCTGTGTTTTAAAATAGAAATCTTGATGAATCTTGGCTTCTCAGGGAACTTGGGCCAGGAAGCAGGAGGAGTGAGGAAGCAAGTTGTGGCTTTTGGTGTTTGTTTCTGGGCTGACATCAAGAGGGGCCAGGCTTGAGAGAACAGGAAACCAAGCATGCCTTCTGCAGGATGGAGGGAAGGAGAGTTCATGCTTCCGTTTTTCCTGTGTTCTCTTCTGAA